GTCCTTCACACGATCAAAGTCTTCCGGATGGAGAGAAATATAATGTTCAAGAACTGCGTCTCTAGTTCGACAGTGGTGTTCACGAAGCAATCCAGCTCCGTAGGCTAAAGCAGTCACTGTTGCGATTGCTGCAGAGGCCGGTATGCTCCCTAAAAATAATTTTATCAAAAAAAAATTGGTGTCAAGATCAATGTAGCATTGACTGCAATATTAGATAAAAAAGGAAATACCAAAACTTTATCTGACATTTAGATTTTCCCTAAACTTTTTCTGAGAGGACACATTTTTTTATCAAATATGAAACATCTTTGACTAACTTTCAGAGAATTCCTTACAACATGAATATGTTCATTAATTCATCATCCTAAAAAATTATAGTCTAACGGTTAAAATGAAACAGCTAAGGAACACCAAACAAAAAAACTCCTGAACTCTAAATGGCAAAACATTATGAAGATGAGTGACCTGAACTCTACCGAAATTAATGCAGTTAAATTAAGAGAAACAAGAAAAAAATGAAACATCTAAACATTCCACCTGCTTCAATCTAGATAACCTTACAATTTTTTCTACTTAAAACCCATCATGTTCGTCAAAACAATAATTCTAGAAAACCTTTGTTAGCTCCCTGAAAACCTAAACTCTTTTTTCACTTCATAAGAAACTGTTTTTTGTTCCAAAAAGCTCTGAAAAATCCGAATAAGCAATCAAAACTTCCATTAAGCGTATAAAAAACTGTATTCTGAGTCCTCGTCAAAAATCCTTTAGACTATGGTGCCCAGAATTTTCCCTTTTTTGTTTTCAGTAATAACCTCTGACTGTTCTACCCCACTACAGTTGATTAACAATGTTAAACAATTTAAGCATGTTATGGCAGTTTGGACTTCTCATAGGTAATTTTGCCAAAAAAAACAAAAGCAAAACAAATAGTTAAATATCTCTTAGCAGCTTCATTCCCTCTGCTGCGCTAACAAAATACTATGACGCCTAAGAGATTTATGAAAAAATGTTAATTACTACCAAATTTACAATTTCTTAAAGTTATAAGACAACATGTACGTAAAAGTGAAGAAATAGAACATTTTACGTGACTGCAATGTATAAAAAACATCTAGAAGCTCTGCAGGCTTAAGATCTAAACAGAACAAAATCTATAACTTTATATAAAAATTAATAAAATAAAGTGGAAAGATCAAAATGCTAAACTAACCGAAATACAGAGGCCTTTTAAAATAAAGGTTATGAAAATAGAAGCTGACAGTACTCCCAACTGCAGCGAAAAATGCTACCCTGTGCGGGTACGGCCAAGAGAAGGGGTCTGCCAAATTGAATGGAATTTTGTAGGCACGAAGAAAATCTTCTCGTCTTTTCTGCTCAGCAAGCTCACTCGCGTTCATGCCCCAGCCTACGTCCTGTAAACCAATCAAACAATCAACTATTAAAAGAACACTGTAGACTAAAAAGCTGAAAAGTAACAGAAGACTGCAAGTTTTCTTCCGTAATCGAATGGTAATGTTTACGATGCCTGCATTTTAAGCAAGGATAATATTCAGCATATACTAAAGCAGGTAATTATGTCGCACTGAGTTTAAGTGGTAAAAACAATTGAGCGTTTTCACCACCGTTCTGGCATCAATAAACACAGAGCAAAACGTGTATTTGTATTTTTTTCAGTAGCTTTCGGGTAGAGACAATTTCCTAACGAAAATCTTGGAAATAATTCTTTTGAAAAGAAGTCTATGAATGAAAAATATTGGATTGGCTCAAAAAAAAATTAGCAAATTTTTACCGAGCACATAACAGCTGCAACTTAAAAATCAGGTTATTCTACCTACGGATTTGATTATAATCATAAACACACACACACGGAAAAACAAAAATAAGAGCGGATTTGCTGGAGAATCATGATGAATGCTTAACGACTAGTGTGCGTGAACAAATTAAAGTATAAGCAATAAAAAATTGCGATTTTGGCATCCGGTCAAAACTGTTTATTCAAATACTGAAAAAAA